ATCCGAGCCCTGGTTAAAAGACACGACTCGTGCTGCCAGGCGTGAGTGCCACATGTGTATCTGTTGGAGACTCTGTATCCTCCTGTGGTCCTCTCTCATGTGGGGTCCCACAGGGCTCAGGCTTAGGCCCTCCCCTTTTCTCTCTTTACTTGCTTTCCTTTGAAACATGGAGTCTTTTTTATTGTTATGTGGACAACAGCCAAGTACCAGTATTCTCTGTAGGTGTTAAGAGACAAAAAGGCTTGGATGGCTCTTAACAGATGGTTTTTGTCAGTACCACTAGGGGCTCACCTGCAGATCAGGTGACAGCCAAATCATGGCAGTTGTTGTTGTTAGATCTAGTTTCTTTCGATTAAGACACCTAGCCATCCTGACACACCAGCACTAAAACAATAATTCATGCATTTGTTACCACCCGGCTAAATTACTGTAACGCACTGTACGTGGGAGTAAGTGGCTCCACCACTGTCCGCGTCCAGATGGTGCAAAAAGCCACTGCATGTCTTTTAACTGATACACGTAAACAAGGCCACATTTCCCCTATTATTTTTAAGCCAGACTGTTGCAGAAATATTTAGCAGCCACCTTTAAAAATCAAAAAGAAAACTGAAAACAAGCCAAGACTAAACTAAATATTAGGACTGAATAAAAAAACTAAAACCTCAAGAACTGAAAAAAAAAAAAAATCCAGATGAAAGTGGTAGAACCGAGTGTTGAGACGCTGTTTAAACAGAGTGCAGAAGTCTGGGCCTGAAACAAGGCTTTGAGTGCAATGCAGTACAAATTAAATCCAGCACAAACCCTGGAACTAGGATTAGGACTTAAAGCAGCGAGACAAACAGAAGCAGAGAGCTGGCAGAGAAGACAGTTGAAGCTGCGACCCCAGACTGGAGACGTTAGAGGAATGAAAGTCAGAGATGTAAGAACAGGTGTGGATGGTTTAGAGGTGGACATGGAAACTGGCTGGTCAGGACGTTACCGTAGGCTGGAGCAGCTGCAGCAGCGGGGCTGTAACCGTAGGGCGTCCCAAAACCTGCAGAGACAAGAGGTTAGAGGCTGGACTTTAGTTATGTTTCATTTCCCACTGTGGCCATTTAACAGGTGTTTCAGTCCTGCTTGGTTCTAGCAGATGGTTCTGAGGTTCTGTGTTCTTTTCACAACAAGATAACATACCCATAAATCTGAGCTGTACCAGGGCAGGGTTTGGACAAAGTTCTCGAGCCAGATTTTCTTACCCCGTACTATAAGCTCTCACTTTTATTACCACAGAGGATTATGTTTATTCAGGGTTATTTTCAACTGAAAGACTAGGCAAACACCCAAAAGCAGAATGAAATGTCAGAGCTGTAATGTCCACAATGGACAGAAATGTCAAACACACTCAGACCATCTCAAAAACTGCCGAAAAAAGAAAAGAAAAGAAAGACCAGGGAGATCAGGAATATCACACCTCTAGTCCTGACCTTCCTGGTCAGGTGTGTGTTAGAAAGAAGTAAGTGATGCCATACAGGGGATACATACTATACCATATATCGCGATATATACTGCAATACATAAATATTTGTATGTAGTAATGAAGTATTACGATATTTCAGTGTATTGATATTTTCTTACACCCCAGTCAGGACAATTGAGAAACTAAACTTCATTCATTCAATTATCATCTACTGCAGAGCTCTTTCAGAGTTCCTGTGGACCATTTCTACAAATAACCATTCACACCAACTGACCTATTTAGTCTGAACTATTAACCATTTTGCATGTTTTGGACTGTGGTAACAAAAAAACCCATTTGAATAAACAGGACAAATATATTGTATTGAATGATTACCTGGTGTGACGTATCCAGGAGCAGCTGCACTGACAAAGGCTCCTCTGGCCAGAGCTGCTCGTCCTCGTCCTCTGGCTACCTGAGCTGCTACTGCTGAAGCTGCTGCCGCCGCCGCCAGGGCCCCTTTAGTCTGAGCACACACACGGGCAAACAAACACACACGTCTATAATGCTTTTCATGTACTGTATGTACACACAAGTAAGTGCTGGGTATCACCAGGTACCTTACGGTACATACTATCGTGATATTTTACCCTCGAAAATGATAATATCATAATACAGCGATTCTGCGATAATGGATATATTGTGCTAACTTTCATCCAAGATACATTATAATAATGCACAAATGCTGACTAGCTTAGCCTGGTTTGTTGTGATTTCTGTACTCAACCCCCCTCTCGTTGACTGTGGGGTCGTGTGGGTTTGTTGGTTCTGTTGAGGTCGGTTGTTGTATTGGCAAGTGTATAATAAAGTGTAGTAAATAAAACACTGTTTGTCTAAATCACTGCTTTCATGCAGGATGACGTTGTGTTAACCCTCAGTTCAAACAGCTGTGATAATCTGATTGGTGCTAAGTGCTGATCTGATTACACACTTGTTGAACTCAGTCCTATCGATTCCTGTTAGCTGGACAAATGAGTCCAGTTGTTCTGTGACACTGACAAGAAAAGGAGCCAAAAGTGGGATGGATTTTCGAGGGAAACGAACATTAAGGTGCATTTAGAACAACAAAACAATATGAAAAGCTGCTGAGACTGTTGTATCAGGCACGGTGAATGTACTGCATCAGCTGCTTCAGCTCACGCCCTCTGTTTGGCTGCATCCTCTCACCTGAGGCAGAATCTTCTTCTTCTTGTTTGCTGCAGCGTTAGGTCCAGAGAACAGTTTTTCCAGAGCGGCTAGAGCAGCGCTGGCCTTCGCTACCTTTTTGTTGGGGCCTGCCCCGCGAAACTTCTGCCCATCCACCTCCACCTAACATTAGATAAAGAACATGACACGCTGAATGTTAAGTATTTCACACCAGAGTGAGTCTGGTGTTTTGACCACAGCACAGCTTTGAGTAGGTGTTAGCAGCATCACCTCAGGTAGCAGGTAGCCCGACAGATTTCAGCGAACCTCTGCTAACCCTTAGCAGTTTCAGCTGTATTTTTCTGCTAGATCCAGGCTCTTTCAGGGCTAATGGTCACTTGTATATTGGAATATTTTAGCATTTTATCCTATTTTTCAGTATTGGTTATTATGATTTAAATTAGCTTATACGATGTTTGAAGTATATGTTGGCTATTTCTGATTGGTAAACTTACTTTTAGGTGCAAAACTCAAGGATTTAAATACCACTTTTGGCAGACAGTGTGGGGGTCACTAACTATATTTGTGGGCCAGGGGGCTAGAATTTTTCTGGACAGAAACCTTGGGGGCCAGGCACTCAATCCAAGTCCAAAAAGTTGAATCTACAACAGGGGGCGCTGCTTTTTCTAACTATTATTATTCTTTTCAAATTTTCACACTTGGTTTGGTTAAATAAATTATTAAATAATTATTTTTGACTAACTCTGAGCTATGAGTTATGTTATGTGAAAGGTGAAATGTGAAAAGAAATAACACAGTCTAACGGCTGTGTGTTCAGGGTAAAATATAGTTTTTGACCAAATTTCTCCAGACTGTCGAGAACCCTGGTGTCGTTTCGTTCTATCTCTGCCTGACCTTTTGTTTTTCTCCCCTTTGTGAAAAACAAGCCTCAGAATAATAGTGTTGAACCCAGACATGTGACGATCAGTTATCAGGAGCCAAGCTGAGGAGAACAGCTTGTTTAGCAATGCCCTACTGTCAGACAGGTCTGCTAATCAATCAGCAGAGCGACGGAGCGGCCAAGTGTGTCGGAAAACAGCAGCCCACCCCACAGAGATCAGGGCCGAGGCAGGAACCTGGAGTGACTGATTGACTCCACTGATCATCTGTGACTGTGTTTGTGTTCAGACCTCTACTACTGTAGATGAGTGGATTAGAAAAGGCTACACATGTCAGTAAAAATGCCTTTTTTTAAGATTTTATCTACCTTTACGATATTTACATTTCCAAAAGTCAAACAAGAAAACTATAATAATTGTGTCAGAACATTGACAAGAGTTTAACTTCAGTTTCAAGGATGTTCCTGCCAAGTACTGAATGTAATCAAACAGCACGCAACACAAAGCACCGCAGTAAGATCTGAGATAAATTGCTCTTACTGGACCGCAGTAAGATCTGAGATAAATTGCTGAGAAAGTGCCAAAAGTTTTCTACCAGAAACAACAACGAAGCTGTAGCAGTGACTGTAACCATGACTGGACGTCTTCAAAAAGACACTGATTAAAAGACAAAATGTTTGACACAAACTCCTTATTGAAAAATTATAGAATTACAGAAAATGGAGAAATTGAAATTCAACTGGGATTATGGATACTGTTAATAGACTCTTATATATTAGAATGTTGTACATTGGTCAAAACTGCGGTTTAATAAAGTAAGTACATTTTTATGCAAAGTTTTAAATTTATTTTATATTAAAAGTTGTTCCAGAAAAAATAAAAAAGTTCCATGTATTTCGTCCTATTGGTTTTGACCTGTGCAGTGCTAGTGTTTTCAAACCCAGGGCTGTGGACTCGTCCTGTACCAGTGTAGGTCTCTTACCTCCATAATGAAACGTTTGTCGTGGCTGCCCCCACTCTCTGAGATGAGCTCGTACTTGAGGCCTCGTCTCTTCTCGTTTAGCTCCATGACGGGATTCTTCCCACTCGCCGTCAGTATGGGACCCTGAGTTCTCACCTGCGGATTAAGATAAATGACTTAGTTGGAAAGAATCAGGTTACCTTCAGCGGACACGTCGACCTGGAACATGGACTTGACCCTAAACTGGTCTGGGCCGGGTTTTTCTGCCCACCTCCAGTGTGTTTGAACTGTCCGAGGAGTGTGTGGGGTTATTGCTCTTGTGTGACGACGTCTCGCTTTTTCCCTCGCCGTCCGACTTCTCGTCTGAGCTCATGGGGTCCAGGTCTGAGTCGAAACCCGTGGGGTAGCCCATCGCCTGGAGAACCTAGGGGAGAAAGGAGGTGATGTAATGTGAGAAAAAGTAGAAATGACGCAACATGGTAGCAAAGGAAATACGACTTAAGGCTAACGTTAAAGATAGGGTGGATAAAAAAAAATCAATTATACTGAAACCAGGTTGTTCATTCTGTAAGTGGGACAGAATTTCTTCCTCTTTTTTTTTTCTCAAGTTTCCTTTCATTCCACTGTGTCTTCATGCATGAGTGACGCAATTAGCTGGTAGGCCTAATAGCTAGCTAAATAATTCAAGTGGGCTAAGGTGAAGCAACAAATAGCAAAATGTTAAGTGACGTGTTTGTGTGTGTGTGTGTGTGTGTGCATGTGCGAGCTCGACTCAAACCACAATGATGCAAAGCAGGAAAAGACTTACAGCCATTCTCATTTTTTCTCACTAACAGATTTCAGTTCTAATAGAAACAAATTATTTCTGTATTTAACAAAAACTTCAGTCTGACACTGTCGTCATAGTAGAAAATATTAACAATTCGAATGGGGATAAAATATCCAAAGAAAAAACTGAGATGAATACAATTTTTTATATAGTTAACACAGCTTTAGCACCAGAATAATTCAAATTAAAACACTGGCTCCTGCTTTCACATAAACGAAGTGTCACTTAAAAAATGTAAAACCTTTTGAATTTTATATATATATTTATATAATTGGCACACACAATCAGAGAACCAACAATAACGTGTCTATCACGACGCTGCCCTGTGTTGTTCCTCCAATTTGACAAAAATTCTTCCACTAGCAACAATCTGTGGTCTATGTTCCTGACACAGAAAAGCACTGAAAAACACAACAGAGCAGCAGAAACAAGTCTTTGAACCAAAAAAATGATCGTGTTAAATCTACTGGACCAGTCACCAGAGAGAGAGAGAGAGGGTTTAAAAAAGGGAAAGACAGATCACAAATGGAGTACAGGAGGAACGAAAATTGAGGGCGACGGGGAATGGGAAATGGAAAATGTGGGAGATGGGTGTGAAAGAGCCTTTTACAGGAATGGAGCGGGGGGCAGATTAACCCAACTCTGCTCTGGAGAGACTCTTTGTTCACAGCCAATTTGGGATTACATGGATTTGCCCACCCACACAGTCTTACACACACACACACATGCAGGAGAAAACATATTTGTAAGACTGGAGGCAGGAGAATTAAAAGTTCTCTGTGTAGCCAGAAGGAATCAATTCTCCTTTACACATCACCAAATCTTTTTTATTCACATTTCTGACTCGGACTGGTTACTGCAAATTAAAAAGAGTGGCACAAGTTGACGTCCCTCGGGAGGAGTCGAAAAATCTATTTTTTTTTCCTTTGCATAAATGCCATTGCCCTCTTTACCTCTGATTGGCTTACGCTGAAATGTCATCATTGACCCGTCATTGGCGTTCCCAACGTTACAATAGGTAAATCCTAAACTTCTGACCAATACAGATCCCAAATATCAGATCCAGCCACACAAAGTGACTATTCTATCACCCGTCTACGTCGTGCTCTGCCAGGTCTCAATAGCCTTAGGGAAAAGTGACATGAAAAGTTGAAAATTGTATTTCAAAACAGTTAAAAAAAAACCTGTTCAGACCGGTCTCTCATTTGTCTCCAGCAGCTGTGAGAAGTTTTTTTTATCATATATTTGTCAAATGTTGAGCTGTGTTTCATTGAAAAACCTGTTCAAAAACCTGTTTGTCAAATGTTGAGCTGTGTTTCATTTTATCTGATCACGTTATAATTTTCAATTTAAAAGAAGAGCAAATGTTGGAATTCTAACCAAACCTAAAAGGAAACCTGTTAAAAATTAGTAAAACTTTGCAAAAACTTTGTCAAACTTTAACTGGAAACCAGAAAAAAAGAAGAAGTCAGTTTTCAGATGAGGCAGAGACACTCGTTGTGACATGGTGCAAATTAAATCCCCCAAAATTCTAAAAGAAAAAAAAAATCCATGATGGCCACACACCAGGGAAGTTTTTAAACAGAGTTATTTAAGGTAATTTTTCTGATGTCAAAAATATACTTTTTTTCTCTTTTGTCATTGCTTCTGTCCCTAAACTGGTCTGCTGTAGTTTGTTAGAGAAATCAATAAAAACAATCACACTTTCCACCTGACTAATCTAATCTAACTAATGTTTTACTTGAAGGAGCGCTGAGTGAAGCCGTCAACATGACCAAAAACCAAAAACCTCTGAAACTTCTCAGGAACTTTAGTATTAAACTACAGGACACTTGGATGAAGTAAGTGTAGAAAGTGTATTGGCCTTCCTTTAATTCTACTGATGATGACTTGAATGATGATGATCTGGTTGACTAAAAACTATTATGGATAGAAAGAAAGAGAGAATTTTATTTATCTCTTGGGAGTTTCCTTTGGGAAGACTGTCCTAATTTCTTTGGACTCCAGTTCGCTCTTCTTACCTTAACAGCCACGTGCAGTTTAGCGGTCTTCTTGGACGATCCCGATGCTTCATAAATGGTTCCGTCCAAATCCACTGACATAGTGAAGACGGGAGCATGAACGGGGCCGGACTGGGACAATAGGCGATACTGAAGGCCTGGTCGTATCTGGTTCAGTCGCATCAGAGCGTTCATTGGCTGGTTGGAGTCGATGGCTTTACTGTCCAGGACTGGGATGAAACAGAAGTGTAGAGATGTAACATGGTTACAGTAGAGAACACAGAGTACAGATAAAAGTCAATCTAATGAGGTTTAAATGGACCGTTATCAATTATTCAACGGGCTACGGACAATCTGGACGACAGTCAGAGATAGGTGTACGTGATGCGTCCTATTTCCTTTGAACTGTTACGAAGAGAAACACGTTGGTTTTCAAGATGAATAAAGACGTCGCTACACTTTCTTTCTCCTTCAATCGTGTTCCTTTTTTGTCAATATCTAAAAATGCCTTTCTGCCTCCATTAGCCGTGCTTCATCTTCCCCTTGTACCAAGAAAGAGCTCGAGATGATTGGGTGGCCTACTAAAACGGCGGCAATCAATTTTATTGATCCCCCTCTGAGGGGGAGAAGGAGAGTGTGACAAAGAGAGAGAGAGAGAGAGAGTCAGGGAAACAAGGACATCGCAGGAGTAGGAATAATAAGAATGAGGGTAAGGATGTTGGTAGTTAGTGGAGTTGAACAAATCAGAGCTGAACTAAAGTTCTATAATTATCGAGTTTTTTTTTTTTTCAGTCCAATGACCAACGCTTGGGAAAACCAAAGGTTACATTTAATCAGACTCCGTCTTCGTTGACTCTCATTTTTCCCTCTCGTACCTTTCCTCAGATTCCTCTTCATCTTCTTGATGAGATCCTTGTCGTCCATAAATCCGTCCTCGTATGGCCTCTTTAGACCTAAACCTTAGAGACAAAGACACAGACAGTCTCTGGTCATTCATAAATGAAAAAAGACACTGGTGTCTGCAGCAGAAAATAGAGGTGAAGGTAGAAAGAAAAGGCCAAACAAGCAGTAAAACCTAATGAACGTGGAGAAATACAGCGTCCTTACTTCAAAACACTAAAACTACTACATACATACATATACATAATCTTATATTGTATGAGTAGTTTTGTAGAAACTATATAAAATGACAGACTAGAAAAAAGAATAGAAGATAGAAAAGTAAACCACATGCAGTAACATTGCAGGAGAGACACTGTGAAAGAAGTCCTGCTCCTCCGTCCACCCAGATCTATAAAGGCCCTGGCTGCAGTCCATGCCAGCTTCATACTCAGCCAGAGTGGCCTGACTTGGGTCTTTCTATGAAAGTCACTTTGGAGAGCGGCCAACTCCAGAGTCGTCCTGTAGTGCCAACTCCAGCTTAATCCCCCGCCCCTCCAAAAACACGTCTCTGCTTTACAGTAAACTCGTAGCAGCTTTCCAACCAAGGACATGCTGTACTTCAGTTGACAGACGACGGCGCCGTAAAAATAAATTTTCTGCTAAATATGTCGCTATGCAAGAGTGTGCTGCCTCATCTGACCCTAGAACTGAATCCATGAGTGTTGAACCGGAGGGCACGGATCACATGGTTTCTAATCACTAATCACATGTAGGAGGAGATGTGATGGAGGAAAAGACTGGGAGAGGATAGGACGGCAGGAAGTGAGGTGGAGCGGAGGTGACGCACCTTCTTTATCACACCAGGGGTATTTCTGTGAGGGTTTATTTGAGGGCAGAGGTTCCATCTCCAACACCTTGTAGATTTGTCCGAATGCCATGAGTCTGAGAGCGTGCTGTTGGACAAAACACAAGCAAGCACAGTGATTGGCAGATGTCCATCCATTAGAATAGAATAGTCTTCATTGTCATTGTACCACGGGGGTACAACGTACAACAAGTTCAGAGATATGAAAGCACTACTCCTCTGTTCCTCCTATGTTTAAAGACATACTTATCAGCAGGCTACGATATGAAAGCACTACTCCTCTCAAAGAGATATTTTGGTTTAAAGACATACTTATCAGCAGGCTAGAACGACCTAAAATTTTCTTTTAGAACTGAAAAAAATAAATGACCAAACAACAAAACTAGCATTTTCAGTATAACTAGCTACAAGCTCTTACGCAAAACATTACAAAACAACAAATGTAACATACATGAGATATTAAATCACTAAAGCCAGCAAAGACTTATTGCACCTGAGAGATGTAACTTACATGGGATATTAGCTTGCTAAAGCTAAAGC